TGCCTCATGGTCAACTTGTCGTCCACCATGACACCCAGGTCCCTCTCTGCAGAGCTGCTCTCCAGAAGGTCATCCCCAGCCTGTACTGGTGTCTGGGGTTATTCCTCCCCAGGTGCAGGACCTTGCACTTGGCCTTGTTGAATTACATGAGGTTTTTCACCGCCCAGTTGTCCAGTCTGTCCAGGTCCCTCTGCATGGCAGCGCAGCCCTCTGAGGTAGCTACTCCTCCCAGTTTGGTATCATCAGCAAACTTGCTGAGGGAGCACTCTGTGCCTTCATCCAGGTCATTGATGAATAAATTGAACAGGACTGGACCGAGGCCTGACTCCTGGGGAACACCGCTAGCTACAGGCCTCCAACTAAACTCTGCAATGCCATCAGATCACAGAAATCACACCTTTCTGGAGGGGCAGGAAACTATCTGCATCTTGAAAAGTTATCTCTGCATGATCCAAAACTGGAGATCATGGATACACGTCTTCAGGAAAGACTACGAAACTCACACAACATAAACACAGAAGAACTAATTTTGAGATGATTCTTACCCAATTGATTCTTCATCATTACAGCTGTATCTGTCACAGTCATTTTTCCATCTTCTTTTTGTGGAAGACTCTCTGTTCCTGACACTTAACCTCCACTGAAATAAATAAACAAAATAAAGATTCAACAGACAAAAATTTCATAGACACTATACTAGAAAGACAGAACAATTCAATTGCTCATATAGAGCAACAAAAAGTACACACAATTTTGCAAAATATGCTTTGTTTACAGCATCCATATGCTGCCTTTTCCTTGAAAGGAATTTGCTCTTTCTTCATAAGAAATTTGACCAAAAAGGCAGTTCAACTTCTCTCCTACCTAAAGGAAGACCATTCCAAATGCAAATTAAATATTGGGTCTGTTTTACATCACCAATATGCAAGATGTTTCCCACTCTCTTTAACAACTGCCTGCATATATAATCAAACTAAAGAAACTCCACTCAAAGACAATATTTAGAAGGAATATGAATTTGAAAGCTTGACACTTGAGTGATGTAATGAAACCCACAACTCTTTTTTCAAAATTTCTTACCTTATCAAAATGTACAGATCTTTCCAAATTAAATACAATGACACTCCACGAAAACATAGTTATTTCTGTACTTCCTGAAATTATCCCTCTATGCTCTCCGAGTTTTTTTTTTTTTAATAGCAAAGTTAATAAAACATATGCAGATTTGAAAATTTTGCCAGTCAGGCTGCAAGCCAATGAATCAGTTTATCTTCCTTTCTGACCGAGCATGGAGTGAAAGATGATTTGAAAAAAAATCAGGCTCATGCATTATGGCTACTTCAGCAAAGAAGTCTGGGAGGCATGTCCTGAAACATTGTTTCTCCTGTTACTGATTCTGTGATGGGAAATGCCCTTGTTATTAAAATGTCTGGCAGCAGAGAAGTGCTTTGGAGACCTTCTCCCCTCCTCCTGTCCCCAGGCATCATTTTGCTCTCCTCACGACACCGGTCTCCAAGCATATGAGACACCTATGCACCCAACCACTGAACGCAGCACAAAAATTCTCATGTATTACAGGGTAAAGTCGTGCAACACTACCTACCCTGCCAACATGAAGAGACCCCTACTCCTACCTATGCACAAAACAATAATATGCCTTTTAATTATCACAGAATCACAGAATGTTTAAGGTTGGAAGGGACCTCTAGAGATCATCTAGTCCAACCCCCCTGCTCCAGCAGGGACACCTAGAGCACGTGGCACAGGGTGGCATCCAGGCGAGTTTGAAAGATCTCCAGAGAAGGAGACTCCACAGGCTCTCTGGGCAGCCTGTTCCAGGGCTCTGTCACCCTCACAGGAAAAGTTCTTTCTCACATGGAGGTGGAACTTCCTGTGTTTCAATTTACACTCGTTACCCTCCAGTCCCTTAATCATCTTTGTGGCTCTCTGCTGGACCCTCTCTAGAAGCTCAATGTCCTTCTTGCACTGGAGAAACCAGAACTGCACCCAATACTCCAGGTGCTGCCTCACCAGAGCTGAGGAGAGGGGCAGGATCCCCTCCCTTGACCTGCTGGCAACGGTCCTCCTAATGCAGGCCAGGATCCCATTGGCCTTCTTGGCCACGAGGGCACATTGCTGCCTCATGGTTAACCTGTTGTCAACCAGAAATTACGATGCTTCATAATCTTTCAAGATGAAACACAATACAAAAAGACTAGGTTTGTGTTAGAGTATAAGAAACCCTCTCCCACATGTGAACAATCTGAGATATATAGACATAGGTCAGAAAAATTCAGGAAAAAAAAATGCGCCACCTTTTTTTAATTCACCCAGTCCAATCACTACTTACATACATATATATATGTAAGCACCTATGTGTATACGCATATATAAAGAGAGGGAAGAGGAGAGATTTCTATGTTGCTACTTCATGCTGTGCCCAAGAGCCTGCTGCTGACAAGCACAGCAGGCACTACTCCTGATTTCAAAAACCTGACAGTAACTGGATGCTCTGCTCACTTAAGTACCTACAGGATAGGACATAATGACACAGTGAACTTGCATTGCAGCAGGGTCAAGAGATTAGATCTTCTGAGAGAAGTGGGTCAAATGGGCAGCACTACTGTAAGGTGAAAGCATCTCTAACCTCCCTCACTCGCTTTTACAACTTTTCTGGGGGAAGAGCCCCTTGATTCTGAAAGCATTAAAGTCATCAACAAATTCTCAATGCTGATTTGAAGGAGTCAACAGCAGCACAATGTTTCCAAAATCTAGCACTTTTAAGATCTGCTAGATCTTAAAGATTTCAATGAACTTCAAGCATTTTTACTTAACAAATTGGCTTTTATATGCAATTAAGATGATAAACACTGTCATTTATGACGTTAACTAAGTACACTTACAGTCTTTTAGTCTTAACACTGATCACTTAAAATTTTAATCAAAAGCCATACAGTATTTCACATATTCTTTTAAAGCTTCAACTCTCAGACACAAATAACAACTAAGTCAAAATTTAATTTAAGAGAGACTTCCATCTCGTAACAGAAACAGTTGGAATACATGTTCTGAATATAATCAGAAAGTTCAGGAACAAAAAAAATAAAATAAAAAATAAGCCACCAATGACAACAAAAAAACCCTACACATTTGCCTTAACATTTATGATTTTCAAGACAACCTCAGAATGTGAGAATAACTTTAGCATTGTGGAGACTTTCTGTCAAAGTACTTTTGAAGCCCAATTCTGCTTTTTCATTATTTAGTTTGGCAACAGAGCACTAGTATGTTTATTTCTGTAACTGTAGACTGATAGGTAGATCTTAGACCTATGCACTGACTCTTTCCAAATCAGTCTGGGTCAGGTATTGGTCATATAGTTACAAGGCAGCATTCAATATTAAAAGAAAAAAAAATCCAGCCTCCAAAGCAAAATATGACATATAACATGCTCCAAAGCACTTGGCACCAAAGAACTTCTCTTTACCTCTTTTAAAGGGTAGACCCAATGGTGGGAGCCTGAGAGCCTTGTCAGAGGGGACTGAACTTGGGTATCCTCTGACCTGGTGTTTGGCTTCTTCTTTGGCATATGAAACTGAAAATAGAGGATGTTACATACATGATAAAACTAAATCATGCACTGATGCCATAGGCTGGCATATTCCATGCATAAATTTCCCTCAATCATCCGTCAATTTAAGGAACTGGAAAGGGAAGCACTGACCTGTGACTTTAGATGTTTTTTCACTGAAACTTGGGGCTAAAATGACACCTAATACTACTGAGATAATATTAGGTACTGAAGCACTGGGGAGCTAGTCTTAACAGATCAATTGTCTTAAAAACAAACAGAAAAAAAAATAAAGCAAAAAGAAAAGCATCCTATTTCATTAACCTCATAATAACAGCTTCAAATGTGTCCAGCACTGAGGTTAGCTGGCATTTACACTTTTATCAGTTCCCTTTAATTCCCTTCCACTCTAGTTTAATCTCCGCATCTCAGCATAAAGAATGATAAAGCAAAAAAGAAAGAGTTTAAGAAAACACTGTATTTGTACTCTCTCAAGAAAGAATTTTTGGAAGAGCAGCAATTAAATCCTACAATAGGATCAGGATTTTGGTATATGATAATCAGCATCAAGAGAGCTATGTACTCAGAGATGATATCAGCTGCTGTTACTGACAACCTTTGCAAAAATGTGAAGTCAAGCTATATTCCCACAAGTACATTGAGATTAACAAAGAGAGTGATGCTTTGTATCTAGTTAATTAAATCAGTTAATGTCAGCTAAATAAATAATGCAAACTTTGCCATTTATTCAAACATCTTGAGAAGCAAAACCTTATGCTGTGAGTATGACTAGATTAGAATGAAGGTACCTGTAATGGATGTAAAATCTCTCAGACAACCAAGTCTACTTGAGCCAGGAACAAGCTGAAACTAACTGCATGTTATGGCTGATGTAAAATCTGTTAATGAAGTTAGTTTGCAAGCTACTAGATGCAACCCTATCTTGTAACATGAAATTTAAAAGTCCAGAACAGATGAGTTATGGACTTGCAGACACAGAAAGGGTAGTCACAGTTCTGCAAGTGCTTCAGACTAACTGAAACATACAATATCATAAGGAGATACCACTTCAGTTTTGCAGTTTGCATTGTTAGTACTCTCATTCTTCATTTACATTTCTTGTAAACAAAAATGTGTGTGTTTTAGCACATTTTAAGTCAAATATCTGAATAATACATCAAGCTACTTTCAATACTGAGACAATCAGTTGATTACAATTTCCTCACATTATAAAGGATGTAAACATTATCCATAGGTAACTATTTACAAGTAACCTCACCAATATTCAAGGATTGAAGTAAACATTTTCCTAATGAAGAATGTGTAATTTTTGAGTAGTAGCCTATAAATCTGTTCTATCAGTCAGAATATATTCTTCTACCTTACACATTAATGACCAGATACCAGCTCCTTACTTTGGGACTCAGGTGGCTGCCTGACTGGTGGTTTCTGTCATGAACTTCCTGAAAACAGTTAATCAAAATTCCCTAAGTTTAAATACGCATTTCATGTTACAGTGGTTCAGATATTCTCCAATAACACTGACAGCAGCTAAGGTCAACTCAAGGTGATGACAGACAGAAGAGAATAAAAGACAAATGCAGCAGCAAAAGAACTCAGCAGCAAAACTTCTACCTCACCTTACGATACCTTCCCAGTGCTCATATACTTTAAGAAAGCGTTGGTTTGCGATGCCTACAAATAACTTAGGGGAAAGCACAGTCAAGAGATGACCAGTTGAGGTCCCTATTTATGGTAAGTGCAACATATGCAGTTTACTCAGCTTTTCACTAATAGAAATCAACATAATAGAATCAACATATACATATGCACACATCCTTAGCAGATTCCTATCTAAGCCACCTGTTCCCACCTGTAGGTGCAAGGGTCAGCAGCAGTGTGAAAACAAGGTTTGGGTAACAGCTTATTTCTAAAATACCAGAAGGTTCAGACTTTACCCAGTAAAACCAGCAGCCTTTTGTGCTGCTGTGCCTACAACTTTGTTTTTTTTTTTTTTTACCAGCGCTTCCATCACTAGAAACTACAACTAATGTGGACATTTTAGGAAGAATAAACATTGACATAAAAACTCTCTGAACAAACATTCCAGTTATGCAACTCTTCTACTGAAGCAATAGCTCAATACCTCCAGTTACAAGACCTTAAAAAAAAAATCAAAACAAAAAACCCTATGCCAATAGCTTGAGGACTTTACTACAGAATTGTTCCCTAGTTACACATACAACTCATATATGAGTATTATTTTTAATATTTCAGATTTTATCTTATTGTTTAATATACCCTTAGCTACAAGACGCTTGTACATTTATCAAATGTTAAACCTACTGTATATCAATATATTGAGCAGCAGACATTACTGTTCACTGCACTGCTGTTCAGTTCTCAAGAAAGAGTGCACCAGTGAAGCTTAATTTGGACCATGGGAAAATAAGTTCAGTTATACAAATACACCAGTACACCTGTGATATCTGTACTCTTAAAGCAATGTTTCTGTAAATTTTGAGAACACTCACACTGATGTGGCCTGAAGATGCTGAAGTTCTTCCTTTCATGATCTCCTCTGCTGGAAAAAAAAATATATATATATTAGCAATGTGCTTTATTTGTCTAGAGTGAATTAGGACCACAGAATGAGGTATTAGGCAAGAACAAGACCCTTTCTGAGCAAGCCAGTCAAAGGAAGTTAATGAACAGCCACTATACAAAAGAAACACACGTATGGGCAGTTTGAACAGAACTGCTAAAAAATAGAAATAACTTTCACTAAAGTGTGTCTTAGTGAAGGCACCTGGTTTTTAATCTGACCTTCTGGGAATTAGATGACTAATAAGTTACTCAGGCTCTGACATCAAAATTAAAGGCATCAAGAAAAAGAAAATAAAACTCATGAGTTCCTGTTAAGAGACAACCTCCTTTCTCAGTGGAGGAGCACAGCTTCAGAGCTTTCTGCCTGCACGAGGGCTTATTCTTTTTACAAAAACTCTGTAGGTCTCCCGTGGGAGCCCTTCCAAGCTGGAACTCTCAGAGGATCGCGCTGACTACGGCACATTTTGCATGCGGGAGAAGCTTCGTTTATTTTCCAGCTCGCAGCCTCCGTGCCCAGGTGCGGAGAGCAGCATCACCCGAGACCGTGGGGGAACGGCCAACGCGCTACTCGTGAAGGCGCCTGCAAGAAGGAAAGCGGGGGGAGCTGACGGACGGGGTGGGAAGGGGCTTCCCCTTCCCCACAGGGGAACCTCGAGGGTCGGCGACAGCAATGCGCTCCCTCCCCCGCCTCCTCCCGCCGAGAGACGCCCCTTTCCCACCCTCCCCTACCGGCTTCGCTGCCCCCAGCCGCACGGGGACCGTTAAAAGGC